GAATATATGTTGAAATGGGTGCATACATTCTCCCAGATACGTTTTCCAGGATGAACTACTGTCTTAGTAAACATTCTATCCTGATTTATAAGTTGTTTATTTAAATAGTTAAAAATATAAAATAAATAAAGCTTGGAAAACAGTCTCACATTCCCTTAGAAAGTAGTCCTGCTTATAAATTTGAACGGCTTATATTCCACAACATGTGCACACATTCACACACACAACATTTAAAAAGGCTGTGAAGTTCTCAAATTATCCTTGTCAGAGCTCTGAACTATCTTTTGTTATATTTACTTTTCGCTGTTTTTAAGTAGACCCACTGGAATTATTATATGAAGAAAAATGTTTAGTTCATTCCTTGTTATCAATTAAGTCACCAAAGCATAACCACTTTTTAAAACTGTTAAAGTATTTTAATATGGTATTAAATTGTGTTTTAATTACATCTCTTGGTACAGACATAATTGTGTTAAAATGCAACAATTAAAAATGAGTGAAACCCACAGCTTATAGAAACAGTGTACACAGAAAAATCCAAACTAATATTGAAAGTGTTATTGAAAGTATAGAGAAGTGACTGGAAGAGCATATATTAGAATATTTTCAGTGAGCTCTGGGTAGAATCACTACCCAGATGGGATTTTAAAAATGCTTTTCTATATTTTTTCTGATTTTATTTTCATCATCAGAAAAATAACAGTTACATATTTTACATTTTTGTTTATTGATTTCACTGAATACTGTGACAACAACCACTGTAAGTTACTTCTTAATTCATTTTCAGCATAAAGTTGAGAATGTGCTCTGACAGTTTCTCGTTTCACTTTCAAATCAATGAATAGCATTTTAATTTGAGCATCAATTCTGCCTAGAGGTTTCATGACTAATTTTTCAAGTTAATGTCTCCAAAAACAAAACGAAAGAAAAACTCTTTATGGTTGAGATTTTCTAGGAGTGAACACACATTGCTGCTGTTACCATGAAACAACAATATCTAGAGAAAGGGATGTTGTAGTTAACAAAATATTAAGCCTAGTGATGCATAAGCAGAAACATCCTTTTTGTTTTAACCCTTGAGTTTTTGGATGGAGAGAGAGGCTTCTAAAATATATCAGTATAGCTTAGTGGTTAAATGCTCTGACTCTGGAATTAATGTGATGCAGCATAAACAAACAACAAACAAACAAATAAATAAAGCAATCAATTTTCTCGCTATTCCTATAGATAACAACAAAGCAGCTGACAAAATTTATTTTTCATTTAAAAAAACAAAAAACTAAATCTTAGGAAGGAAAACTTCTTATCTGTACAGACTGAGTATCCGTTAGAATATGTAATATTGGTCCAGGCGCAGTGGCTCAGGCCTGTAATCCCATCATTTGGGAGGCAAAGGTGGGCGAATCACAAGGTCACCATTTTGAGACCAGTCTGGTCAATATGGAGAAACCCCATCTCTACTAAAAATACAAAAATTAGCCAGGCATGGTGGTGCATGCCTGGAGTCCCAGTTACTCAGGAGGCTGAGGTAGAAGAATCGCTTGATCCAGGGAGATGGAGGTTGCAGTTAGCCAAGATTGTGCCACTGCACCACTCCAGCCTGGGTGACAGAGCAAGACTCCTTAAAAAAAAAAAAAAAAAAAAAAAAAAATATATATATATATATATCTCATACAACATTAGAAGCATTCCTGTGAAATCAGGAAAAAAAGCAAGGCTGCTCTCTGTCACTGATACCAATCATAATTTTAATGGATAATGGACATCCTAGCTAACAAAATAAATAAACGTTACAATGCAACCAGCAAAAGTTTCCATTATTTGTTGGCAAGTAGTGGAAAACATAAGGAATCAACTGACAGACTGTTACAACTAATGAAAGAGTTGAGCAAGTTGTTTAAATTCAAGAGAAACACAAATTTTAATTGTTCTATTAAGTAGGAATAGATAATTATAAAATATTCCATTATTAATAGAATAATACAATTTTATAGTTTATAAAATGGCAACAAATTTTAATGACCAAGAATAATTCTACTGAGAATTGTGCAAAGCCTTTCTGGGAAAATCTGTAACACTTGATAAAAAATAGAAAGCAATACTTGAATAAATGAAGACATATTTTTGTTCCTAGATAAGAAGATTCAATATTTTAAGATGTTAATTATTGATATACTGAATAAAAAAATGTGATACATATACACTATGGAATACTATGCAGCCTTAAAAAAGAAATGAGATAAAGTCAGTTGCAGGAACATAGATGGAGCTGGAGGCCATTATCCTCAGCAAAGTAATTCAGAAACAGGAAATCAAATACTGCATGTTCTCACTTGTAAGTGGAAGCTAAATGATGAGAACACATGGACACATGGGGAGAACAACACACACTGGGGCCTGTCGAAGGTGGGGAGTGGGAGAAGGAAGAGGATCAGGAAGAATAGCCAGTGGATGCTGGGCTTAATACCTGGGTGACAGGATGATCTGTGCAGCAAACCACCATGGCACATGTTTACCTGTGTAAGAACCCGCACATCCTGCACATGTACACTTGAACTTAAAACAAAAGTTGGAAATAAAAAAAAGTAAGATGTTAACTATCCCTAAATAATCTCTAATTTGAATATAATCCTGCTAAAAATTCTGACATATATTAAAGGAAATTGATAAGCTGATTCTACAGTTTAATCTGCAAACATAAGTATCCAAGAAAACACATAAGAGATTTTTGGAAATGTTGAGTAACATAATATGGAGATATAGAGAAGAATTTGTTTTCTCAGATGGTGAAACTTGCTTCAAAGCTGCAGTAACAAAAGCAGTATGGTTGGTGCAGAATTAGATGAATAGGGCAGTAGTCCAGAGGACAGAGTTGGAAAAGCAAATTAATATACATATGCAAGCTTATTATATGAAAAAGCAACCATTAAAGTCAATCAATAAAATATTGACTTTTGCAAGGTCAAAGATGCTATCATAATTGGCCATACATTTAGAAATAACATACGTGATATAATACAAAAATTCATATAAATTAAATATCTAAATGTAAAATGTACAGCCATAAAAGTATTAGAAGAAAATATAGAAAACCATTTTAATAAATTTGTAATGGGAGATTTTCTAAACAATAAAAGATGTTATAAAGAAAAAGGCTGACAGATTTGACCACATACAAATATAAAACATATATATTACACCAACAACAAGAATAAAAAACAAATGGAAGGAAATATTTACAACGTGCAAAATAGACAAAGAAGTGTTTTCTGTAATAGCACTTAGTAATCAAGAAGGAAAAGACAAATGCTAAATAGAATGAAATAGATGATTTATAGAAGAAATATAAATGAACACAAATATATAAATCATCCTCTGCATTTGTAACCTGAGAAACACAAATTAAAATAACATTTTTTCACATCTATGCTGACAATAATATCAAACAAAAATTCATTCTATCCAGTACTAGCAACAGTCTAGGGCTATATTTTTGTTATAAGTGCAAATTGATGTATACCCTTTTAAAATGACAATTTGTTAGCATCTGTCATTTCAAAAATAAATATTTTTTAACTAGTTGCTGACCTTCTTGGACCGTATGCCAAAGAAATGCTTGCACTTGTATGCAATGACATATAAAATCAGTCATTTTCAAATTTTGAGTAACAATAAGCATTAGATGTAATCCAAATTTCCATGGTTGAATAAGCATACTATGGCCACCCCATGGAACACTATTCATCTGTGCCAAAGACTAAAGTAGATTTGTGTAGACAAAGGAATTAGTTAAATGAGGAAGAGCTTCACTTGTCAATTTCTTGGGATTCGAGTCACAGGACAGTCATAGTTCATTCGATCCAATCTTAGCATTACGAGAAATCCCATCATTTGTCCCATTTTTCTCTACCTTTAGACAGAGTGATCCTGCTCCTCTGTGGAAGAAGTTGCTATAAGATTTCCTCTGGCTTCATCACCACCCTGCTGCCCCACTTTCCATTCAGACATACCCTCACCCAGGGGTCCCACTCCATGCCTGGGGAAGGAAATCCCTGAATTACGGACATAGACTGTAACATGTTGCAGTCTCCCTGCTGTCCCTGGACTACGTTGCCTTAGATTTCATTCATTTACTCCATGTTTATTTAGCACTTACTGTAAGCCAGATATTGCACTATATGCTAGTGATCCGGTGGTAAGCAAAATAGACACGATTCTTGTTTCCCATGAATTTTATAGTTGTTTTCTCCACTTATCCACCATCTCTTTCTAACTATTTAGAACTGGGAGGCACAATAGCAAATAAAACAGAAAAATAACCTGTTCTGAAGGCATTTAATACTCAGTGCCTAGCACAGAAAAACCAGAAGATGTTGTCCCTTATCCATAGCATGTAAGATTTAGAATTACATCGGCTACTTGTAACTCTTCCATTACACAGTGATCAATTTCTTCTCTGCTAGACTGAAAGCTCCTTGAAAATGGGGATATAGGACTGACATTTAACATGCTTCAGACTCCTTTTAGGGAAGTATCACTCACATTACATGGAGTGGGATATTGAGCCACTTCTTAGAGACCTCAAACTGGCTTCTGTCCCCAGAGGTGTCAGTGAAGTACACTGCAGCCACACTTCTCCAGCCATAGCACATAAATCCTTCTATAATTCCCTGAATACTCTGCGTCTAGATTCTTCCACCTCTCTGGGGTCACTTCACAAGGGGGACCATACAATGTCAATGGGCAAGAAATTTAATTAAAACCTGATTATTTCCCTTGGCAGTTTTCATTGTCATCCCCCACAAAATATTGCTAAAAATATTCTCAGAAGTACTGACTTCTGCATATATGCAAGGGTGGGAAAGAGGAGACAATTGGAAAGTTTTCTCTTATCCAATATGACCGCCAATATGACGAAAAGTTTTGTACAAAATAATTGGGGAAAGATTAAAGCCGTATTGCAACTTCATTTATTTAAGAAATATTGATAAATACTCCGTGTTCCAGGCACTAGGCAGGGAAATAGAGTGGTGAGTAAGACAAGCTTTTCTATTCAGCTTTGGCCACAGGAGGGAGTGGCAGTGAAGGCCCACCTCTCTTGTGTCTTGGTGCCTTTTAATCATCCTGCTTTTGATTTGTGGTGGTTCCAAACGGAGTCAAAAACAATCTGTATTGAAATGGAAGCTCGTTGACAAGGGAAACCAACTCTGTTGTTTATCCTGAGTCAGACTCCCTAATGGAGGAACAGACACTCCCCTGACATGGAGTGGGATCTTGGAACCTTCTTAAGAGACCTTGAAGCGCTCTGTGTCCCCACAGGTGTCGGGGAAGTACACTCCAGCCACACTGGTCACCTTGATCCCAAGGAACCTGGACAGCACCTTGTCATGGCTGAACTTGCTGACCCAGTACCAGGCCCGGCCCCGGATAAGTAAGCCCCTTCCATGTCCCAAACTGGATCGGCGTTGCAGTCATGGTGTCATCGAAGGCACTGATGCAGTAAACCCCCAGGGCAGTCCTGGTTCTGGATCAATCTGTGTCTCAACACCAGAGTCCTGCAGGACATTTCCTAGTGGTGCCAAGGATGGGTGTACTCCTATGGGATCCCCGGGACAAGGACAGAGTCAGCTCACTGTATTGAGGAGACATGGAGCCAAACCAGCATGCAACAGGTAGCCCTCACGGGAGACAACCATGAGGCAGTCTTGGCCCTAGCAGGAGGCAGTAATGAGCACCTGGCCCTTGTCATTCACCATCACGGGGAAGGTAGATTCTCTAATAAGGAGTTCACTGGGGTCGGGGACTCTGGGGAGATCTTGTCACTCCATCCATGAGGGCCCTGAAAGCAGCAGTGGGAGTTGTCGCCATGGTTCTCTCAGCTGCTGCAAAGGAAAGTACGGTGAATGAATGAACGACAAGCAAATGGATAAATGCAAGTTACCCTCGTTCTCACAGCGCCATGCCTGATAGAGCTTATAGCCAGACTCATGGAGGTTATATGTAGTTACCTTTCTTGATTTCCCAGACTCTAGAACACTTCATAAGTACAATTTCTAAGAAGAGTCACTCTCTTGATTTATTTTTACTATGCAGACATCACCTCTTATTCTCTCTTATTCTTTCCTTAGCCCCACCAACTTAGATGTTTTCCACAGCTCTGTCCTCCACCACTCAACTCTCCTTTCTTGTAGCCCCTTCCTTGCATCAGGGATTACATTGACAGTTGTCCTTCATTTGTAACAGCTGTAAATGATCTCCATGGTTTACCCCTGGCCTGGACTTTAAATCGATCTGCTTAAGGAGCATCACAGTTATCAGCTGAAATCTATATGGAAGAAATTGAACTTATGTCTACCCGCTCCACGGTTCCTCTTAGAGAAAATACTTAAGCTTACTTTTCCCATCTTTGTCGGGAAGATAGTATAACCTTGAGGGCTTTTCATGTGAAGGTTGTTGGAACTAATACTACCACTGGTTTTCTCAGAGCCTGGGACATTATAATATCAAAAGAGAATTCCTGTACTTTTATCTTTCTTCCTGGTTTCTCAAAATGATAGGTACCACCAAAGTCTTAGAATCACGATTGCCCTCTTCCTCTCTCCGCTTTGCACACTCATTTTTGAACTTTGTCGAGTGCTTGTTCATTTCAGTTTCCATGCCTATTGCCACGAACCTGGGTCAGGATTTTGATCTGGAAACGCTGGATCTCTCATAAACTCCCTTGATAAGAAGCCCTCAAAGCTTCACCACGAATAACACATGAGTGCTTGGGACTTCTTTCATCCTGGTAGCAGAGGTGTCCTGGATCTGCCTTGGGATGGTTTTTTGAGCTTTTCTTTTATTACCTCTCTCAAGACGGATTGAGTATCCCTTCTCTGAAATGCTTGGGATCAGAAGTATTTCAAATTTCAGAGTGTTTTCAGATTTTGGGATATTTGCATATATATAATGCATTAGGTGTATATGTGTGTGTGTTTGTGTGTGTATATATATATAAAAAATGCAGTAAACCCCCAGGGAATCTCCTGGTTCTGGATGTATTTTATTTTATATATATATATGATGAGATATCTGGGGAATGGGATCCAAATCTAAATATAAAATTCATTTATGTTTCATAATAAGTTGTACACATACCCGAAAGTAATTTTATATAATATTTTAAATAACTTTGTGCCAAAAGCAAAGTTTGTGTTAAGAATTAATGTGTGGAATTTTCAACTTGCAGAGTCACATCAGTGCTCAAAAGGTTTTGTATTTGGGGGCATTTTGGATTTCAGATTTTCTAACTAGCGATGCTCGGTTTGTACAGACTCTGTTCTGCCTGGGAAATAGGAACACGACCTGTGGTTTCTAGTATCTGTCAGGTCATTTCCTGCAGAATTTCATTGTCTCCCTTTCTTCCCTTCCCTTTTGCCAATTCTCATTACTCTAATTTTAAATTATTAGTAAGAGGCAGTTGAAAGTGTTGCTGTATTTGTTCTCAGGACAATCTTTTTTACAGAAAGCACTGGCCAGGGGATCTTTAGACCCATGAAACATGGTCTCGGTCCATTCTGAAGCCGGGATATGAGCAGGCACACAGCTGAGATGTACACTCTGCTGACTGCTCAGGGGGACTGAATAACGCCTTTCTAACTGTTGAAGTTGGTGGAGAGAGGGAAGGAGAATTGTGTTTATTATGAGAATCAAGGAGGCTAGACAAGGAGTTTCAGTTTCAGAATTAGCCCATTCTCTATGAGCTCTGGCAGGTAATTGGTTTTCAAATGGTGAAAAGACCCCATTACCGCATTGTGAGTTTAAGGACGACTAGGAGTGAGTGTTTCATTCCATGGGCTCCTTCAGTGCCTGCAGTCCAGACTAGCTAATACTCTGCCCAGTAAGCATGTCCTTCGACTTATCAACGGGGTGGCCAGAGACATGTGCAAAACCACTCTTACCGGGACAAAGGGATGGATTGCTTTGCTGAACAAATCCTGGAAGTGTACTGTTCAATCTCTGAAGAAACTACTTTAGAGACAACAGTTAAGTATTTAGAGAAGGATAAAAATTCATCTCCTAGCTTCGCTTGAGGAGAAGCAGAGGTATGCTTGGCTGGAGAAGGTGTTGGGAGAACAGACAGGTACAGGGCAATATGGCCATTGTAGTTTCATCTGAGGTTTTAGGTGTAGTTGGCATCCATTTTCCTTTCCCTTTACCAGGAATCATAAGGGGAGAGAGGAATGTGATGGATCACCAAGCTGGTGATAGATACTGGTGAGCATAGGGCTGTCCATACACAGGGCAGGTACCTTTCCACTCAACATACCAGCCTGAGCATCTATGACTGTGGGGCAGGGGGTGGGGGTCAGGGCAAGAACTCTCAGGATGAAGATGCAAGGGTGAAGATTCAGGTTGGGGAATAGTACACATTTCTATTCAAAAGTCAGGAATGACGTAACCGCCTTAAAGCTAAGGAGGAGGTTTAGTTACAAAACGAAAAAATGAAACTATCGACAGACAGCCCCCATCCTGGTTACTTGACCAAAGTTTGAACTCCCCGGTGGTGGGAGGAGGGAGAGACATGAGTGGAATCAGTGAGAATGAGGCGTGAGATTCCCTGACAGTGAGAAGGCAAAGCGGTTGTGTGGGTTCTGTGAGGACAGGATGTAGCCAGCCTCTGTGAAGTGTCCCAGAGGAGGACAGAGATTTCAGGGAATTATGAGAAAGGATTTATGTGCTATGTTTAGAGAAACTGGTCCCAGTCACTGGAGATGTCTGTGAAGATGTCCCAGCTTAAGGCGGCAGCAGAACCATTTGATTTCAAGGGACCACGGATTTGTAAACAGTGGGCCTCTTAACTGTGGCCAATGTTGACCAAAGACTAGAGAAAACTTCCTAAATGTCTCTGCTTCACTTAAGCACTTTCACAAGATTCTGAGCTTGATTTCAGAGATTCAATTCCAGTGTTTAATTGCTGGACAGCAGTTTGCCTGCTAGTTCAATAGGAAGTAGGCTGTAATTAGTAGAATTTAATGTAATTGAAAGAAGATATAGTAGGTGACATTTCTTTCCCTCTTGAGGTTGTGGAGTAAGGATCATGAGAACAGAAACAGATGGTGCCTTGTCACCACTTGCATGACACTTTGAACCAATTGAATCACCTTGGAGCCTAAAGCTCTGACCGATGGTGGTGTCCCCTTCACACATTCCATATGTAATTAAAAACCAAACCATTTACTCAGCTAGAAAAGAAAAACAAAATCCTGATTTTTCTTTCGGTGACTACTTCAATTTCCTTTTTGCAATATCAAATACAAAAATTCCTTTGGAAATTATTTTATTTTTGTTGTTGACGCATCTTCTCTGCTGCTGTGTGGCTCACCCGCTGGATCTCTGGTGACATAGAGCAAGTTCTTTTATTTCTTAGGTCATAGTTTTCTCACCTGCAGTATAACATGGCATGGATAGTAAATTTCCCTCAGCCCTGATTCCCTGCCTACCTATGGCAGCAAAACAGACAAAATCAGACTCGTGTATGATAAGACCAAAGAAGGATAAATGCGGCTAGATCTAAAGAAAGAATCAGAGTATAAGGAAAATCAGAAACAGAAAATAGATGAATAGCAAGGAATGCACTTTGGGCACCTGGAGGCTTCAATTCAAACACACGTGTTGTCTTTCACTAACCCAAAAGCTTAACAGCTCAATCTCCTCAGGGTCACCAGAAGCCCCAGGCTGACCACTGCCAGCTTCAACAAACAAAGAACATCGGTGACACCTGCCTCCATGCCTGCAGAGCAGGAACATTTGTATTCCAGAAACAGTCGGAGGAGCTCACCTGCATGTCTGGATGTCCCGTGGATGGCTCAGATCTCGTGGGGAGAAGAGACACCTATGTGGAAATGACAAGTGGATGATCTGGAGATGCTATCTATAGGGAGAACGAGTGACTCTCTTTGGGAATATCTTTCTTCCTGCTTCCTTTTGAAAGGGTGATGTTGGCTGGGAGGCTTCTCTGAATACCTAAAGCACACACAGGTGGTGCCTCTCATAAGTTCCTGGGCTATTTCTCATGGAGTTTGGGTGTGCATCCCAGACTGAAGCGACGTAGGCTCTGAGATTTTCCTTCTTCAAGTTTTTTTCCAGTTGTTGGCCTTATGCTCTGCATGATAGCACTGCTCTGTGGTGAGCAAGGGAATCTCTGCAAAGCCTCTACCATGTGTAGTGAGGAACGCTGATAAATATCACAGGAAATGATGGTTGTCAGAGGTAAAACTGTTTTTAAAATGAGCAGAAACAGTGAAGTCTATGACTACTCTGGGCCTGTTCCATTGAAGCGTCTCCTTAGAAGAGGCTCCTGGGTCTGTGCTGATGATTCGGGAAGAGCCAAACCTCGGAAATTCCATTCACCAAGAGTGAATATTTCACACACTCATTCACTGGAACCCATTCACTAGTCCATTTACTTGTGTGCATAGTGATTAATTTGCAGAATTTACTTGTTCCTTTCAGCTATTTGTATGACGTATATGTATACTGTTCATTTGGTACAAAGTGCTTCAAATAATGTATATTTTTAAAGGTTAATATTAGAGAAGAAAAAAACACTGAAAGTAAATGGAGCTAAACATCATATTAGGAAGTTAGATAATAATAGTAAAATAACACCTACCTCAAAAAGCAGAAGAAAGGAAATAATAAAACTAAGAACAGATATGATTTAAATAGAAAGTGGCAAGAACTAAACTCAAAATTGGTTCTTTGAAGAGACAAATCTCTAGTGAGACCGAGTAAGGAGAAAAGAGGAGTGACACAAAGTACCAATAACTAACATCAGGAATGAAAGGGAAAGAAAATGACAGATGATGCGATTATTAAATAATAGTACACAAATGAATAAACAACTTTAAGCCAATGCATTTGAAAATTTAGGTAAAAGACACAAATTGTTGAAAAGTATCATTTTTAAAACTGAACTAAGAAGTTTACCAATAGTTCTGTAACTACTGAGAGAATGCTAGCAGTAGTTAATAACGTTTTT